TTAAAGCAGTAAGTAAACGACACCAGGGATTTTTATAGTGGTTCAAGGAACAACTTGTTCCTCTAGTCCACTGTTCCACTAAGCTGTAAAAACTTCCGTTTACAAAGCCTTAGTCCTAGCACTTAAGAAGCACTCCACGTCTTCTTCAAGTCTAGATGTCTCCTGGGATGCACTGCCTGGCTTCCTTTAAGACTGGTCCTTTCACTGAGTTTCCTTGAAGTATCACCACTTCACTACTCCAGTTACTTGGACGTCCTTCTTGTAGCAAGAAGAGTTTCTGTTGAAACAGGGGTTCCTCCAACTAGCTTCGTTACAAAAGATTTGTATGTGATGAGCTTGAAGAGTTGAAGAACACTTGGAACTTTGCTTGAGTTGGAAAAAGTATTTTTCCAACTTCTGCCTTCTCTTGTAGAAGATAATGAGTTTGAATCTCAAGGAGGCTTTTTTGCTTTTTCAGAGTTTGAATATCTTGTTTGTAGCAATGGTTAGCAAAAGTTGCAAAGTTATATGGTTGTTCTTCGTAGTGTATCTTTTATACTGAGGTTGTCTTCCCGTTGGAGGAGTAGGAGGACAACTGCATTAAATGAGCGATCAGTTGACTTGACTAGTAGAGCCCGGTAAAGTTGGCGGGTTACTATTTTGGGATAAAGTATTCCTGACATTGCGGCCAATCATCTGCAATTACTCTACGTAGCATGGGGTGCATTAAATGAGCATTTAATGCGTGCACTGTAGCTTTTCTGTTTCATACTCCTAGCCGTTGAAGGAATCTTTTAGTTGACTTCCCGGTTCAGTGAAATTCTTCTAAGTGTCAGACCTTCTGGTGTCTTTATCTGAGAGTAGAACAGAGGAGGTCTGGAGCACTTCTGTTGAGAGAATGTCCAACAGAGACCCAGAAGGGTTTCTGTCAGAGTAAAGGCTAACAGAGACCCTGAGGTCTTCTGTTCTGGAGCAGAGAACCAAAGGTCCTCTGTTTCAGTAATGCCTTATGAGGCTCTTCTGCTCTTGGAGCCCTTCTGCTCAGAAGGTCTTCTGCTCTGAAGGCATTCTGTCAAGTCGATTATTCTAAGAACTTTACAAAGGAAAAATTATAATACATAATTTCTAAGGGGGTACTCTAAAGTCCTAATTAATTTAGCATCATCAAAATCTAAATACAATTATTCCTTACAGTACCGGAATGAAGAAATGAAAGCGGCGGAAAAATATTAAAAAAAGTTACATTTATGGTATAACTCCTGTTTTTAGGCTTTGTGATTAATCTGGAAAGGAAAATGCAATGGTAATGGAAACTTTCCATCTTTCTATTTCCCAAATCCCATTTGACGGTTCTAAGGGCATCCTCATCCATGAGTTTATTTGAAGATCAATTGGATGATGTGTAAGATTATTTTAAAGATTATCATTGTGAGTGAGAGATTATTTAGTGAGATTATTGAAAAAGAAAATCCGATATCAAGATTCCAATCCCGGATTATTTTAGATTATAGTTAAATTACATTTAATGCATATCTGGAAAAAACTGATTATTTGAGTATTATTGTTGATGATAAGTTTTAAACTTTGAGATTATTTAAAATTTATTGAATAAATGTGATGTGTCAATGCTGTGTACTAAAAAAATCGTTTATTTAGAGAGCATGAATGGAGATGCTCTAACAGGAATAAATGACAGCATCTCATTCAGGGACAAAAACTTCCATTATCTCTTCAATCAAACACGTATGGCTCTGATATAAATTGTGGGTTCCATTTATAACGACAATCGGATAAATACACAATAGAGAGTACGTAGGTGAGCAGAAATGAACGTTATTGAATACGAACAACTACACATCCAGTACTCAATGGCAATGCTACCATGAAACGAGAAATTTGCTCTCTGTAGTACCAATTCAAAGGAACTTTACAAAAATATGAGTGAATTATGTTTTTTCCGTACGTGGGACTTATTAAACACTGTTTCAGGAAACTTTATATTTGTTTTCCATTTTTACTCTTGACTTTAATACTCCAGATTAAAAATAAAAACTAACTTCCCCGACTCCTCTATCTCTCCTGTCGCATCGCATCCCTGTTTTAGCATTGATTTAAGCGTCTCTCGGCGACGACTCCGGAATTGAGATCTGCAGACATGGCTTACACATCCCTGTAATTTCAAAAACTTTCAAACCCTTTGCCTTATCCCTATGGTGCTGACCTGACCACAGAATCGTAATACCTCTTCGACATCATGGCTTCTGTAATGAGATGTTGTGACCATGTATGTCGCCTCAATGCGGAGTTCCTCGAAGGCCTCTTGAGGCAATTTCATCATTGGAAATAGTGAATTGTATATATATTGTTTTATGTCGTCTACTCTGCTACTGTGTTATTATCAGAATTTATTGTCTATTTATTGACTACTTACTGTCTATGTACTGTGTATGTTTTGCAAGTTTAATTTTGGTCATACATGCTCTCCTGATGTCAAACAATGTCTCCAATCATCAAGCCACAGTTAATATAGTTGTTGATATCATCAAACACTAATATGCAAACTAAATGCATTTAGAGAAGTGTATGTTCCAAATGCCATTTTTGTTCTTACATTATTTTCATACTCTACATCGACTTTGTACTTACTTGTAATGTTGTGTGCTTGCGTATGTTGTACGTTTTAGATTAAGCCATCTACTCGGTTTGAGTTGGAGGTGGTGGGCAAAACATCTAGAAGTATTGTTGTTAATTTTAGTAATTAAATAATCAAAAACGAAAAATTGCATATTTAGAAAGAACTTTACGAATATGACTAAATAAGACAACTTTTTTCACTTAAAAACTTAATGTTCATATCATGTGATGTCAAATATTTTTATGCATGATAAATATATAGCATTAATTCTGTAGTTGAATCTATTAATTTGCATATTTGCTCTATACCTTTGTACTAATTTTTGTACTTATAGTCGTAGGAATTTAATGTCTACATTTGTGTCATTAAAGACCTGTTAATGTCTACTTATGGACTTCACTCCTTACTTCAAGCAGCTAGTACACTTGAGCTCAACATAAAATAAAAAATAAACAAGCATCTGATATGACACCAAATATGAGATCACATATACTCATATTTCAAAACCAACAATATTTATGAAGAAGACTTAATGACTAAACAAAGAAAGTTTCACAAGTTTCTTTCATTTCCAAAAACCTAATTATTACAAAACATCTTAGTCCAACTACTGCGTTTGTGCTACAGATCATGCTACACCAGCCCTTGTCTTCGTGGTGCATTCATCAGTAGCTATGTCATCATCTTTTGTTGGTACTTATTCACGTCTTGCTTCAAAAATTCACTCACGTCTTTATCCATCATAAGAAATTCAAGAAACTTTATGACAAACATACCACAAATGTCCCTGTAAAGCCATAAATTTGTTAATATTAAGGTAAACATGCATAATACATTAATATAGGTGAAATATATCAAATTAAAGTCCCAGATACCCATCGTCATGCTGTGGACAGTTACGGACCATGTCGATACAAAAGTCTTCAAGAAACACCTAACCTCTCCATCACTTTTGGTAAGAAAGACTCCAAGAAAGGTGTAAAGAATTGAACTTGTGTTTGACAGTGTGAATTCAATCCTTCCAAGTCTTCATGTTGACTTTTTGACATGGTTTTCCTCTATTAAAACAATCACTTGTCCATTCATCTAGTATAGATTATATATTCCCATCAATCCACTAAATGTAGTTTTCTGCATTGCTCAAATTGCTCCTCTTTCAATAGTCCCTTTACGATTTCAATGGCATTATTCACATTGGAGTAGCAGTTCAGTCTCACCTTCTTTTTTGTTACAAGAACATGATGTGTACAAGATTCTACAACCGTTTGACGAATTGATAGTAATTATTGTATAAGTACTACACTCGTAATTGGACAGAACAATTCAATTTACCGAATCTTATTTACTGTCTAATGGTACAAATCATATACTCTCTACATCTAACATCAGATGATTCATACCACAACTTACATCAAATGAATGAAATGTTAACTATTGCCAACATGTACACACAAAATCAAGTAGAAAGGTGTGAAATACTGACTAGCTACTTGAACAAGTCATATAAAGTCTACGGAGTAACCGCATCTCACATCCACATTAGTCCTTGAATTTGTGGTATGTCATTTGATTTGAGTTGATTCCATTATATATCTCTTTATTAGTAGACAATATATCTGAGAATAACTGAATTGAAAAATATAATATTTACTTTTGTCTAATAAAGTTGTTGAATAGATACCTGTCCAGATCAAAGCATTGTTTCATGTTCTTTCTCCTTTTTATTAGGTCTCTTTGTTCTGAAATCAATGTCGATATGTTCTTCCTTTGATGTGCTTTCAACGTCTGTCTTCTCCGATCTTTTCTTTCTTCTTGCCATTTTTTCTTTTGTTGCCTAAATGTTCTCTGCCATAGTTTTCTTCTCGTTCTTCATAGCCGTCTATAGCTACTTCCAAGTCAGTTCTACCCATCGCTTTTTCAAAAGATTTTTCCAACGCGGCTTACGACTATGCGGTTTGAAAGGATATTTGATCCAAATTGAATGGTTGTCTGCTATGTAATTGAAATTAAGAGTATTCTGGTCAAAGCAGGTGTAGTTCATTGTCGTTGGAACATTACCTTGCCATTGTTCGTTAAAATTTTCAGACCTGTCTTCATAGTCGCTTACCCGCAATCGACTTTTCTGGAGCGTTTAAGCTTTCTGCAATTTTTCTGTTGACACGGTGAGACCTAATAGTTTGGAAAGAGTTCCGATTCAATTGAGTTGTGGTGAGTGATATGCTAATTAAATTTAAAAGTGAGGGCATTATGGTCAAATCAAGTGCAGTTAGGTCTTACGCCGAGATGTAATCCTAATTTGGGAAAGTTGTTATGATTTGGTCCTATTTGTAAAATTTTCCCTAAGGCTAGCATTTTTCATATACTTTTCATATTAGAAAAGGCTAGGTTCAAATGCAAAGTTGGCCCAATCAATACACAAATGTAAAGATAACTAATGCAACTATTATATACAAGAAAATAATCCCTAACACACATTTTAATTAATAATATGTTTCTTTTATTTACTCATAATTACATCACACGTACACGTTATGAATAATATACATAGTTAAGTAATTCTTTTTCTCTCTTCAAGACTCCATCCAGTAATGATTTGATGACATAGCATTCAAACAGACATCCATCTCAATGCTGTGAAATTGTTCTTACGCTGAAAATGATAAAGAATCAATTATACAAATAACGTAACAAGGCTTAATTCAGCCAACATTATTTTTGCAGAGAAAATTATTTATAATATGACTAAAAGAGTGTCTATTTCCCAATCTATAACATGGAAACTTTCTCTTGCTTGATATAATGGATTTTTAGTGATATAATGGGAAATCGACTCGCTTTCAGTAATATTGTGGTAAATTTCCCTATTTTTGCAACATTCAGCAGATAAACCACCCAAGCTTATTTGATTAAATTCATGTTCTAGTGTAAACATAAGAAGAAAGGCCTAAATTGGCTATAACCAATGTTTGAATCAGTTATGCATTCCTAAAACATAGAATGAATAACTAATTAAAGTTGATAGATAAAACTTTAAACTTGCTTTTTGGCTGTACGCTGTTTCTTAATTGTTTCGAAGAGGCTCCCATCATAAACTCCTTTTATAGCTTCTTTGGGCAGAACTCCATCCTTGTCTTTGGCTAATAAATATAATACCTTCCACTCTGCCCATGCACCAACCCTACATAACAAAACAATACCACTATAATACCTTCATCCCAAAAACTTCCTTAGGGTATGTTTGGGAGTTTGGAGGGAAGGGGAGGGGAAGACTTTGGAGGTATATTGTTGGAGGGGAAAGGGAGGGAAGGGTGAGGAAGTCCTTCTTTGTATTTGGGAGTAATAAAATTGGAAGGAGAGGGTTTTTGAAGGAATTATAATTAAAATCACTTTGAGATATGACGAATTCAAATCATTGAGCTGATATTCGTTTCTAATTTAGCTTAAATTACCATCTTGTTAATTATCCTCCAAAACCCTCCAAATTGGGAGAACTTAAAAATTAAGCATTTGGAGGGTTTTGAAGGGTTACAAAAGCCCTCCAAAACCACCCCTCCAATTTTTTAAACTCCCAAACATGAAAAGGAGGGTCATAAACCCCCATTAACCTTCCCCTCCCCTCCAAAACCAAACTCCCAAACACACCCTTAGGGTATGTTTGGGAGTTTGGAGGGAAGGGGAGGGGAAGACTTTGGAGGTATATTGTTGGAGGGGAAAGGGAGGGAAGGGTGAGGAAGTCCTTCTTTGTATTTGGGAGTAATAAAATTGGAAGGAGAGGGTTTTTGAAGGAATTATAATTAAAATCACTTTGAGATATGACGAATTCAAATCATTGAGCTGATATTCGTTTCTAATTTAGCTTAAATTACCATCTTGTTAATTATCCTCCAAAACCCTCCAAATTGGGAGAACTTAAAAATTAAGCATTTGGAGGGTTACAAAAGCCCTCCAAAACCACCCCTCCAATTTTTTAAACTCCCAAACATGAAAAGGAGGGTCATAAACCCCCATTAACCTTCCCCTCCCCTCCAAAACCAAACTCCCAAACACACCCTTAGTTTGATCTAATTATTATAAATGTCATGTGATTATTTATACTAATTTTATACGAGTGTATATATGTGAAGAATAAAATCGGTTAAGACGTTAAGTTAGAACAATAGAACCGAAGTTAAATAATGTAACAACAAAATCCCATGTTCCCTAGCTATGTTGCTTGGTCCTCCAACAAGATATAAGTAGCAACAATGTTTTTTCACAATGTAAGCGTAATTCGTTGTAGATTTTTTTTGCACAAAGATTTGAGAATTCAAAAAAAAATTTAAGAAATTTGAAAATAAAGAAAGAAAATATAAATACTTTTAGTATATATTTTTAAATATACCAAAATTTGGATTTTATAAATATTTTTTCAAATATATACCAAACATTAAAAAATGTGAGTAGACTAGAAAAGCTTACTGACCAACTTCAAAATAAAATAAAAAATGTGAATTTTAGATATTATTAAAATGTTCTACTCCCTCCGTTTCCAAAAGAAAGTCACGGTTTGACTTCACGATTATTAAGGAAATACATTGACTTTACTGTAGAAAACACCATTTAGACACTGTTTGACACTGTTTCGCACTGTATAGATGTAGATTTCTTTGCCAAATAAAGAAATAAGGGAAGTGTGACTTTGTTTTTGAAACATCTCAAAAAGGAAATTGAGTTTCTTTTAGAAACGGGGGGAGTATAAAACAAATGACTCCCTTTCTCTGATTAAGTTTGGGAGAACTGGTTTCATACAAATATTAAAAAAGGTTATGAATGGTATTGAATTTTTTTAAATTAGAGTGATCGCAATCCACTTAATATACAATTAATTTTTTTTTATTCCTTTATGAAAATATTTCAAGAATTATGCATATTGTGGTTTGAGTATAATGAAATAATTATTTAATTGTATGCGAAAAGATTTAGAACAAAGTGGAGTTTATCATCCCCCAGAGTCTAGAGTACGTGATCGCAAACCGCAATCCACTTAATATGCAATTAATTTGTTTTTATTCTTTTAGGAACGTTTTTCGAGAATTGTGTATAATAAGTAATTTCCTGTGAGAAAATTTAATACAAAGATGAATTTACCATCCTGCATAGTCCTTTGGCAGTCTATTTGCCTTGAGCATTTCATCCAATTCCTTTGATGTCAAACTATTTGCACTTGAGTGTGCGTGTTCAGCGAATATTTCCTCAAATTTTTCTGGAACGAACCTATAATCATAATATGAAACGCATGGTAAGCTGTATGAAAATTTAGTCGCACAATTTAAGTCAAAACTTACTCTGTATTCAAATCAAGTTCTGAAACCCTCCGAAATAGGGTGTTAGTCCTTTTTGTTTAATTTAGTGGGACAAAACAATGTTAAATGAACATATTTTTCTGTCATACTTACAAAACACAATCGCAACAACAACAATTATTGTTATTATCCTTGTTATTATCAAGCATTAATAAATGTATGATCTATGTACGTATATTTTATTGTTGTTGATGTTGAAGTTTTACCTTGTCTAGTTCATTAAGTTCTAATCTAGATTAATTTGTTTAAAATGAGTCCAAATGTGGAACCGGAATCTAGTGGCGGATCCAAAATTTGTAGGTTATGGGAGCGGGAGCCGGGGCCGGGGCTTGGGCTTAAAGAATTTATGTTAGGGAAGACAAAGCTTAAAATTTCACTATATTTTTTGCTACTTACAATTATAAATATTTATACATATGTATATACATCACAAATGTTTTTAGGAGGGCCGAGACCCCCTCTAGACTCCCCCGTCGCCCTCCACCCCTAAAATCAATAGAGTTTTTTGCTCTAAATAGGATTAAAATGTTGTTTCAATTCCTAAATGGGAGTAAGTATATTTCTATTCCCTAAATAGGACTACTGTACGAATTCACCCCCTCCATTTAATTCATTCGGCAATACCCTTGTTTTCCCCTCACATTTGTGCACTTATTTGCGCAACTCTTCAACAGCAGCACTTTCAATGTGACGAACAGGGGCAAGCAAGGGTCGGCGACGGCGACCCATGAAGGTTTGGCAACTAGCGGCAGCAAGTGGCGAGCGTTGAAAAAGCGTCGATGAACGGCGGCGAGAGTTGTGCAACGGCCAACAACGAGCTTTAATGGATGGCTCGCTGTTCTCCCCGTCTCTTGCTTCTTGTTCGTCTTCCTCAATCTCTCCTCTCTATTTCGTTATCTCTTTCCTCTTCGTCATTTCATATGCACTCAACGATGGCAAACACTTATTGTTCATCTTCTTTCATTTGGTTTGATTTTTTAAAAAAATGCCAAATTTTATTTAGAAAATGCCATTAAAATTTCATTAGCGCCATTTTGTCATTCCCCTAATAATGTTGGCATCACTGACAACGAATGCCAAATCTGCACTAGCAGAGGCTGAAACCTCAGAGGCGGCGGCCGGATCCGCTGCAGCAATCAGTTTTACTGTGGCGGCAGCTAGATCTACGGCATCGGCGGCCAGATCTACGATGGCGATGGCCAGATCTGAACCGGCGGCTGCTAGAGGTGCAGCTGCGGCCAATTCTGCGGCGGCTCCGTCAGCCGGCAGCCAGTGGCCGGCGACGAGTGGAGGTCCGGTGTCCAGTTTTGCCAAGCTTGAGGGTATCTCTGTCCAGCTCTAAAAAATACTTCCTCTGTCCCGAAATTATCTTCATTCATTCCTTCTCGGTTCACAACCACTCTTACACATTTCTCTCTTCTCTGCACAACTCTCCACCACACAAATCTCACTATTTTAATCCTCGTGCCCAATCAAAACCGAAGTTAATTATGGGACGGAGGGAGTAGCTCCTATTTGGGAAAAGTTTAACTTTGACTCCTATTTTAGCAATTAATGATTTATTTAATCCTATTTAGGGAATAATCCCAAATCAATACAATAAATAAAAGCATCCTTAATATATAGGCATATATATTAAGCTACGTACAATTAAATGATTGCGAAGAACACAATTATAGAAATTATTATCATCTGCTTTCTTTTTCTAAAAATTAAACATATATTTTTAGTTGGACTAACTTCCATCAAATCAGGCTTCGATAGTTAAAATTCACTTGGAGACCAAGAGCCCGTTTGGTAGCACCAAAATCGGCTGATTTGGCTGATTCTGCTGAAATTTATGAAGTTCTAGCTGAAGTGGCTGCATTGGCTGATTCTGCTGGTTTAAGAAAAAAATACTTTTAAAATATATTTTATTAATAAAATAAAGAAAAAATTATCTGTAAAAATAGCTAAAATGGTCTTCTACAGTAACTTCAGCCAATACAGTCAGAAAAGTAACTCCAACCATACTTTTTCTGCTTATTACACATTTCAGCGCGCGAAAGCAAAAGTTATGTGTTTGGTGAAAAAATTGGTTGATAAGCCTGATAAGACGATAAACACTGTTACCAAACGGCCTCCAATCATCCTAGTTCACACCACCGGACCTCAATAGATCAGATCGTACTATACTAAAAAACATCAGTACATTAAAAAAACGTCTCTAATACTACGTGATGGAGTAATAGGACTAGGCCCAGAGCCTAATCAGCCCAAGCCCCGAACTTGGACCCGTGGATCCAAGTCCACAACCTAGAGCCTGCCTGCCAACCCAGCGGGAAGCCTGCCAGTCCGACCGATCTCCCAGCCCGGAAGAGTAACGGTCAAGCAATTAATGCACTGTTAATTATGTATTTAATTCTTTATTAATGTTGTAATTAGTTAGTCATTATTATCGGTAGCGGTTACGATTTGAATACGCCTATAAAAGGCGGCTTGTAATTCATATTAGAGAAGAAACTTCTATATGCTATTTCTGGCTAACTTTCCATATTCGTACTTTCCTAATTCTTGCTTGAGTGTCGTACGTAGCTTTCCTAAAAGCCTACGAGCGTCCTATTTTGGACCAACATTGGTGCTTTCATTGAGAGCCTCTATTGTTTCTCTCATCACTCTAGTAGGAATTTTCAGAAAAATGTGTGAAAATCGAAGGTTTCTAGCAGTTTTTTTCCAGGTTTGTAATCCAAAATCTGGAAATAGAATGAAAAAATATAGTCGGGTAGTGCAACGGCTATCTGGATCTAAGCCAGTGACCGGCGTCCACACAGGAGGTCCCGAAAGTTATCTGCCAAAAGAAACAAAATCAACAAAACTGGGATTTCAGAAACCGTCGATGATGTCAGCTATGTCTCAGTCACCGGAGATGGAATTTTAGAACTGGGGTTTTCCGGTGCTAAGTCGGAGATGTCCTCATCGTCCCGGTTTCCGCCACTCGCCAGCTCCCCACCCATTCTCGGGTTTGAGCCGAAACTGCCTCGCACCGTCCGCTGCAGGTCGCTCCGCCATCTTTGTCATACCGCTGTTGGCGTCGCACCTGGTCTCCTTTGCGGCTCGATGGTAAGAACTTGAATCATGACGAGGATTGACCTTAAGCATCCGCCATTAATGGATCCTAAGAGCTCCAGGAGTGACATATCGTGGACAAGTGCACCCCTGTGGAGATGGAACTCCCATGTCTGTCTGTCGCCGCCTGAGGAACCTTCGCCGGTGTTGCCCGAGTCCTAGCGAACTGGCCCCTCGTTGATTTCGCCCAGCCACTGGTGGCCTGGTGCTGCCTGATGAAGATTTGTTGTCTCCGGCCTCAGTCGATGCAGTGTTGCGCCCTTAATGATTGAGGCTCCAAAGGGTAAGCTATAGTAGTTGTATGCTACTGCCCACTCGCCAAACGTGAGAGCCGCCAAAGGCTAGGTCAAAATTGTTAGTGGAGCTACCCAACTGCTATTTCTTTATCAGCCAACGCAGGCACACAACCCATTCAGTGTTGAGCCCAATTCAAAAAAGCTAAGTATCCAAAAATCCACTATATTTTGATACAAAAAAAAAATATTACAAAAAAAAACATAAATTGAATCATTTGAAAAGATATTTTAAGTGGTGTAATTGCTTTAACTCTTGTTGAGTGTGTGTAATTTTAACATTGAAAAATGGACTTATGAAATCCGATCACTCACGTACACCAGACGAGCACACACACTCGTACAATGGCCGAGCACACACACTCGCGCCACCGGGTCATGTCATATGGGTGTGGCGATTAATAAGCTCCAATATAAATGTTAATACCTCACACTCTTGACTTCTTACGGGTTCTTGTGTGCTCTTACCTCTTCCTAGTGCATCACACTCCGACCTCGGGGGACGAGTCATCCGTTCAAAAGTCTTTACTTGCGGGTTCGAACTACTAACCTCGGGCGGCGAGTTAAACTCTTGTTAGGGGCCTAGAGCCACGCTTTTCCGAGCAATTTTGTCACTTAATTGACGTTCACATTTCTCGAAGAGGTTGATATACTTTAGTTCTCTGGGGTTGGATTATCCGTTCGAGTGAGGAGTCCGCCTCACTTACTCGCGGATTCAATCTTTCTTTCGGAGACTGGGTTGAGGCCTAACTTGGGAACTTGATGTCACTCTTTTCAAGTAGTGAGTCCGACTCGCTTACATACTGAGCCGTGGTTTGACACCAGGCCAGATGCTCTATTCTACACTAGTTTCTTTTATGTGTAGGTACAACTGAATGAAGTGGGGGACTGAGGGTCTTACCGTCTTCAAGGAAGCAAATGACAAATCTGACGAGTCTGAGCTCAACGAGAAGAACAGTTCTAGTCATCCTATTCGCAGATGGCGACCATTACAATAAAGGCTGAGGATCTCACCTCTTACTTCATCTTGGGGGCGTCAGATGTACTCTTTTTCCCTTCATTAGGATTTTTTTCCCATTGGGTTTTTTCCTAATGAAGGTTTTTAATGAGGCATCTCCCCAACATGGACAAGGGTGGGGATCTTCTAGTCTCGGAGAAGAGCAACTGACTTGGACTACTCCCTCTTAGCTGAGTCTACTACTCGACTAAGGGAGTGGGGGACTCGTGATGGAGTAATAGGACTAGGCCCAGAGCCTAATCAGCCCAAGCCCCGAACTTGGACCCGTGGATCCAAGTCCACAACCTAGAGCCTGCCTGCCAACCCAGCGGGAAGCCTGCCAGTCCGACCGACCTCCCAGCCCGGAAGAGTAACGGTCAAGCAATTAATGCACTATTAATTATGTATTTAATTCTTTATTAATGTTGTAATTAGTTAGTCATTATTATCGGTAGCAGTTACGATTTGTATACGCCTATAAAAGGCGGCTTGTAATTCATATTAGAGAAGAAACTTCTATATGCTATTTCTGGCTAACTTTCCATATTCGTACTTTCCTAATTCTTGCTTGAGTGTCGTACGTAGCTTTCCTAAAAGCCTACGAACGTCCTATTTTGGACCAACACTACGAGTATATAATTAGACTTACATAATAACTAGAACTATATTCAAGAAACTTGTTGAAATTATTATGATAGATGTGAATATTTTTAATCCTGTAACTTTACACATTTACAAATTTAGTCAAATAACTATAAAATTTGTCCATAGAAATAATAACAAATATTTATAATGTGTACCTTCCATCTGAATCATAGACACCTGTATCACTAGTATGTTTCCCAAGTTTAATATTTTTCACCTCAATAGGGAAGAGAAGAGATATGCCTTTCCCCTGCAATAGAGCATATACTGTTAACCGCATAATTTCTTGCCTAGTTCCAATTTTCAAGGAAAAAGTAACGAACAAACATTTTTTTTTCAAAATGGGAAAGGAAACGTTGGAAAAGTAAAATTGTTTTGTAAACACGACTAACTATTTTATGAATCTGAAAAGTGAATTAAAGGACGCATAATTGCATAAACTATCATATACTCCCTCCGATTCTGAAAGATCTTTACATTTTCCATTTTTAGCAGTACCAGAAAGATCTTTACACTTCCTTATTTGCCTTATTTGGCAAATAAATCTACACAAAACAGTGCCTAAGAGTGTTTATTTCCTCAAAAACTGTGTAGTCAAAGTGTCAAGATCTTTTGGAACCGGAGGAAGTATAATCGTTCCATTACGTACTAAAACTGGTACGTCTACAACATTAGAATATAATGTTTAGGTAATCTACCATCCTTTAGGTTGTACTCTATAACTCTAAGACAAAAGAAAGGGAAATTCCCAAAACACAAGTAAAAACATTGCAAAACTCATGGGAAATATTATACTTTATTCCCAAACAAATCTGCTATTTGTACCCGCCCTTGTATCCACTCTTATACCTACCTATGTGGTAGTCTAGTAGATAATTTTTTTATGTGAACGGACATTTCTTGTTTTGTCCGTGCAAATTATATGACATGTTTTGTTTCACATGTCTTGATTTAGACATTACCATGGGAGTATTAATATCATAATTGACACTATTTGTTATCATTAGTCATGATAGTAATTACTCCCATTACAGGGGTAAATATAATACTCCTAAACTGCAAGAACTAAAAAGAAACACAAAAATAAAGAATGGGGATATTCAAACTTTTATTATCACAAGAATATAAGATAGATTATGCCATATTTACCGGTCGAGTTTTTTTACTGAGCCCAAGATTAATAAACACGGCTGCAAATGTTGATAATGGTATCCCGAATCCAAGCATTCTGAAACCTGTAAAGTAAACAAGGAAAAAATGAGGAAATTATCATTGCGTATTGCATACTGTGAAATTATCAGATATATACTCCAATAGGAGCCTTGACATATATTTATAATAGAAGAGTTGCCAAAATACAAAGTATTTCTAAATATATATTAGGTAGTTTCCTAAATATATATTAGGCAGATTTCTAAATATATTAGTCTATTACACCCCCTCAAACTGTGTGGGAGATACAACGCGCAAGTTGTCTTTTAATTTAAAAAATGAAATTGCAAACTAACAAAAAAAACTCTTAGTAATTATATCTGACGGCGGAAGGTTAGGAGGCACATATTTAACAATAAGATCTCCATGAGCAAGTAGGTTGTTTCTAGGACTTCCAAGAAACCAAATTAGGACCAAGAAAGACAACAAATATTGTCCACAATTTGGAGACCCTTGAAGATACCTTGAGCAAGAGCAGCGAATGAAGTGGGCAGCCAAGAGGATCTCGACCGACGAACAACTGGCCTGACAGAAGACGACGGGATCATGTCAGGGTCGCCAGAGAGAGTGGAACAGGCGTAGCGCTCTGGAACAGCTGTGCGAGCGGTCGAACCTGACTCGACTAGAGAATGGATGTCTACAGCAGCGGGCGACGGACTCAACAGTGCGCTGGAAGCAAGCACCGTGTTCAACGACGCGAAGAATGTGGGCTGCGCGGACGTAGGTAGCAGCAGGCGGCAAACTCATCGGTACGCTGGAAGAAGGCACCGTGGTCAGCGACGCGGGGAAGGTGATCTGCGTCATATCAGCCGCGCTCATCCTCAAAGGATTGGAGACTACCGTAGATGTGGCGGTAGTCGACCCTGAGGCGGCAGCGGCTGTTCTAGGGTTCATGGGAACCGAAAAAAAAGGAGAAAAAAAGAAATTGTGTAGCTACAAACCTAGAGCTCTTGATACCATGTCAAATAATGGGAAAGGGTAATCCAATAGGAGCCTTGACATATATTTATAATAGAAGAGTTGCCAAAATACAAAGTATTTCTAAATATATATTAGATAGTTTCCTAAATATATATTAGGCAGATTTCTTAATATATTAGTCTATTAAGTTTCCTAAATATATATTTAGGCAGATTTCTGAATATATTAGTCTATTACATACGTCATACCCACACAGTCACACACTTAAATTTTCATATCCACACACTACAAAAAATTAAAGGATTGACACGAATTTGACATAGATTTATCGATGATTTCGTGCCCAATAGTTCATGCCAAATTGCTTTTGACACGGATTTGGAATATCCCTGTCAAAATTCCTGCCAATTTTGGAGAATTCCTACCAAAGATCTCCGATAATCCCGTGTTTTTTTTGTACTGACACAGACATTTCCAGGTATATAGAAGTAATTACTAGCTCCTACCATATTGAGAAGTTCTTTTGGGACTATGAAATTTGACCAAATTAATTTGACCATAAGTGTATGTGTCACCTAATACGAAGTAATACGTAAAGTAGTATTAATAATTAGAGCTTATAATTGTACTCCGCATGTAATTGGATTAGATTAGATTAGATTATAAAGTAGTATTAAATTGCAAAAACTGAATTTAAATGCGATAAAGAAGTGATGCATAAAATTAGAAATAAAATATATACTCCGTATAACACTACTTTTAAAAGGTGTGAAAGGGGTGCATAAAAATAGAAATTAAAAGCAAAAAAGACTAAAGTTTTATATTGTAATAAAGGGGGACAGTTATTAATCTTATTATACAAAAATAATCAAATTTTATTATGGTTCGTTTTATTCATCAACCAATGAAGATGGTCTTATTGGCTATTACTCGTATGATAGTGATTGAAAATGTATCATTCATTCATTGGAAAATCAATTCTCACCTACATACCTCGTTTATTATGTCAACTTTAGGAGTAATTGGAATTCCAAAATAAAACTGTCCTATTTCTATACTGTAAATAGAAGTGCTTATCATCAAACTTAAAGATATTACATCTGATAATGTCAAAACATAATACGTAATACGATAGTAGTAGTTAATTTTATTTAATGAATAAAACATACCCCTCCGTCCCACTTAAAGGTTCTCGTCCACTATTCTCCGTTCAACGTGCAATGTTCTTCATCTTTTACTTTATATATTCAACTTTTATCAAATTTAAATTTTCTTGATCAGGCTTTGTAGCGGTTTTAATTTAGTTTCTGAATATGTAAATTTTATTTACTAAAAATAATTTTACTAATGACAGGGATCAGTTAACTTTATGGTCAGTCAAACGTCATAAACCGTGTGGGAACGTTTAAATGGGACGGAGGGATTATAATCCTATTTAATTGTTTTTACACTTATTTAAAGCAATTTTTCAAAATAAACGACAATAGTTATGATCAAACCAACTCTCATATAGATCTAAACATTTGGAGGTATTATTTTATTTTCCGTAACAGATACGGCTGCACTACTTGCATACAATTAACTCCGATCCATTTCTCTTCTTGATATAACTTCTTGCGTAAGAGGAATCCTATCCTCCTCTTAAAATATAATATTATTTCCATCTTAAGTGAGAAATAAGAAAACAAAAAATGTGAAGTTGATGTTTATGCATGTGAAATTGACAAAGTTTTTTAAAAAAAGTAAATTTTGCAAAGTTGAACGAGTATACAAAGTATTGTTCATCGTTTTATCATATATTCAGATGAGGGGTCGCCCTATGCTACAGAAACAACTAGGGATGTTTCCATCCCGGATCAAATTAGAATAGACACGATCAAACTTAAACCCAAGTACACAAATCAGATTATATCAAACTTAGATAGTTATAAAATACATAGACTCCGGTCACACCAAACATTTACTAAACTAGATAGGAACTGATTTAAATTCTAATTGAATTGAGCCGATTGAATTTCGGGCGGGATAACGCTTCCAAAACAGCTATTTATATATATCGAAACAAGAATGAGATAATTGATAGGTGCAATTGGACTGTTCTGGAAATTATTATTTGCAGCGATGAACTGGGGAATGAAAATATGTACTACGCCCGAAACTATAATAGCAATAATAAGAGAATAAATTGAAACCTTTAAAAGTTTCCCATGGATAAATAAGTCCATCCCCATTGATATCGAAAAACATGGCGTGTTTTTGGAGAGGGGAGATCTCATCACCAGGATTTCCTGCCCCTGCGAATAAAAAACTATGAACTATTCAACCAATTCAATTATTTAAACCACGGAAATGACATATCCTGAAGTACTTAAGTGATACATTGAGAAAATTATGGGAAAAAATCCTGATAAAATTAGCCTACATACCACCATGGGAGACAGAGGCGTTCAAGGAAGAAGAAGCAGGATCTGCGGCCATTGCTGATTGGAAAATGAAGAAGCCAATAATCTAATTTACAGGAATATATTCTGAGATCTGAGAATATAACTTACGGAGTATTTTATTTCATTTATGAGAAGTAATCAATCTGATAGATTTAGCAGTTGTGAGTTGTTATATGATTCTCCTCTGCTATGGGCTGGCGGTGAGTGTTCTTTAAGCAAAGTGATTGCGTGTGTGTTTTGTATATGCGCCCAGGTGTCATTCCAATTTCCAATTAATTATTGTGTACAATTGGTATAGCCCATCAGCCAATTTTTTTGGCTGTTTTAACTTGATTGGAGGGTGCATGATAGCTGATGTGACATAGGAGAGGGATAGAGATCAAATAAATATTTGGATAAAGCGGTGTGTAGGAAAAAATGAAAAAGAGGAGCGAGATAGAGGTAAAAATGGACCAAGGTCTATGACAAGGTCCATATATGGACCTTACACGAGATTTAAGGAGGAATACGTGGGTCCTACACATAAAAATTGTGAGATAAAAAATGGGACTCATGCGTAAGGGTGTATAAGAGACTCAGACCCTTGCATTGGAGTTGCTCTAAGAGCCCATTTCGCAACATTCAAAGAAAGGAATCGGTTGATTATACTGAAATCTTTGAACTACTGAGTGTTGTCTAGACGATAAAAAATGACATTTAAGATATATTTAAAAAATTAAATGAAAAAATAGCTAAAATCGTCATGTACAAAAACTTCAATCAATTCAACTAGAAAAATAACTTCATCCTTATTTATATTGATTATAAGAAACTTTAGCGCATCAATAAAAAATTACGTATTTGATGAAAAATTGCCCGAAAAACATGATCACTAAAGAGCCTCTAAATACGTTTGGTAAATGATCTTTTCAATTGACTTTATTCTCAAGTAATTAAAAAGGACTACTCACTAACATTTAGTTTTGGTTGTTTTGTTCCTATTATAATATTCCCAGTCTCCCCGTCTCACTTTATCTTTCCTAAAATCACTTCGCCAAAATCAAAATTCAATGATATTTTGGGTTAACTTATTAAGTTGTCTTAATGGCAAAATTAGGTGGCCTGCTTCTTCCTTTTTGAAATCATATTCTCCTTAATTTTTGGAATCATAGTTTTCCTTTTTACCCTATATTTTATTACTAATTTATATTTATTTTTATATTTGCTTTGTGAAACAATAGAAGTTTATTATAGTTTCTAAATATATAAATCTTAAGTCTAACACCATTACACCAACTTAAAAACACAATTGAAGATTTATTGTAATCCCAGTTTACTTCTGTTTTGTAAACCACTTTGTGATAAGCGAAAGATAATACAACTAATCTACAATATAAAATATTATTGAAATATTTATGACTCTACTATAAACTCTTATGTCATACTATTTATATGACATCGCAAGTTCACAACAATCACTCATTTTTAAAGTAGAGTTCTCCACTGTAATTTCTTTATAAAAAGAGTGATACTATGATGCCACATATACATACGTGCCTTCAAAATAGTTTGGATAGTACTCCCTCCGTACAGTAGCGGTCTGTTCTAGGGTTCTTCCTAGCGTGTTTTTCCGGCGTGATCTATTGATTCAGTCCAACGTTTGAGACAGAGCAAGGCTATCCTCGTTGGCGATTGGGAAGGTTAGGGGCGTGATTTTTTCGGCGAATCACGATTGAGGCTTTTGGTGCGACGATAGTGTGGTGCGTTATTTGTGCAAAAAAGATGAGTATTTTGAGCTGGAATTGCAGGGGCTTGGGTAATGTGGCTACTTCGCAATTGTTGACTGATTTGGTGCCAGAGCAAAGGCCGACAATGTTGTTCTTGATGGAGACGAAGGTGAAGGTCAATCGGGTTCAAGAACTGGTGCGCACAATGGGATTCTGGCAGGCGGCAGGTGTGGACAACGAAGGGTCGCGGGGCGGCTTGTTGTTTGCTTGGCGTGATGATGTTGAGGTTGAATTTTTGGATGTGCAAGCCACTTTTGTCGATTGCAAAATTAAAGCTAATATGGAGAACCGTACATGGCATCTTACCGGCTACTACGGTTACCCTGAAACGAGTCGACAAAGGGAGGTGTGGGTGTTACTACGACAATTAGCAAATCGATCGGACTTGCCTTGGTTGGTGGTTGGTGATATCAATGATATCTTGTATGCATCTGAAAAATGAGGTCGGGTTCCACGCCTGGAGTGGAGGATGCGAGGCTTTTGTGAGGCAATTTACGAGAGCGGGCTCAGGAATTTTCCTTTTGATGGATACCAGTGGACGTGGGACTGTGGACGAGGTACGGGGCATTGGGTTGAGGAAAACTTGATCGTGTTTTAGTCAATGATGAATGGTGGAACTTTTTCAACGCAGGGGCGGCAAAATCAATGGCTCTATTTGTTGAGTTTAAACGTAATAGTGATGGTTGCAGGAGTAGACCCTTTAAATTTGAAAATAGTTGGCTTACCGAGGAGGAGTGTCAAGTTGTGGTTGGGAATAGATGGAGAGAAGGGGTCGGTTTTCCCATTAGTGAGAGGTTGGATTATTGTGGGAGAGAACTCCAAAGTTGGAATCGGACGAGAAGGTGAGGGCTCCGGGTACAAATTAATGCTTGCAAAATGAGATTGGCCTGGTTACGCGATAAGAGTGATCCGCATAGTTGTATGGAGTTTTTGCATGTTCGAACAACTCTTGTGGATTTATTGGAGAAAGAAAATATTTTCTAGCGGCAACGAGCTAAAGAATTTTGGTTGAAATAGGGAGATTGCAATTCGAAGTTTTTTTCATAATGCGGTCAAACAAAGGAGACGTATAAATGAAATGGTTGGGTTGGAGAATGTAGCAGGAGTTTGGACTAGCGACAAGGAGGAGATGCGGAATATTGTGGATGATTATTTTAGGGGTTTTTTAGGTCTATCTCTCTAGAGCGGCATGAGGATCTTGGGATGAATTTCAAGCAAGTCTCTATTGAAAAAAATTTGGAGTTAATTAAACTGATCCAGCCGGATGAGAAGGTAAGGAAGGTCGTATTTGATATGCATCCAGATAAGACACCAGGAGCTGATGGTATGAACCATGCGTTCTATTAGGCCTTTTGGGACATTATTGGGGCGAATATTGTTTCCATTTGTACGACTATTTTTGACTTGGGGATTGTGCCTCAGGAATTAAATATTACAAATATTGTTTTAATTCCAAAAAAGAGAAGACGGTCAATATGGGGGATTGTAGGCCGATTGCTTTATGCAAAGTACTTTATTAAAAAAATCGAAAGTGCTTGCGAATAGGTTGAACGGGATGCTGGAGTCATTGATAGGTGAGAATCAGAGTGCATTCATCCCAGGAAGGTCGATTGTGTATAACATCATGGTTGCTTGTGAATGTGAGCATTTTATTAAGAGGAAACGGTATGGGAAAGAGGGAGTTGCAGCACTAAAGCTTGCCATGAGTAAGGCGTATTATCGGGTGAACCGGGATTTTCTTCGTGGTGTTATGGAGAGGATGGGCTTCCAAGAACGATGGTTTCAGGTGATTATGATGTGTATTGGAACTATGCAATATTATGTCCAATTCGAGAGGGAATTTATTTGTCATATTACTCCTTTCCATGGGCTACGGCAGGGTGACCATTTATCCCTGTATTTATTTATCTTGGTAGCGGAGGGGTTGAGTGTCTCTCTTCGACAGGCCGAAAGTAGGGGGCATACATGGGGTTGCTGTGGGCTCCTCGGGTGTCCCGTCTGTTGTTTGGTGATGATAGTCTTTTGTTCTTTAGAGCTACTGTCACGCCCCGGACCTATCTGGACACGTCAACAATCCGCCGTACAATATGAATAGTCAACCACAGTCCAACTCATCCATATTATACAAGGCGTCTCGAATATCATTCACACATAAGTCATCCATAAACATACATAATAAGTAATTGAATACGCAGCGGAAATCATAGTTTGGATACAGGTGCCACACGGGGCAAACACGAGCACGCAGGCTCCATAATGAAAAACAATATCCATGAGCATTTTTTAAAATGTTTAAAATCAGAATGGAGGAAGCACGAACCAAGTCTTCCCCTCCGAGATGATCGCCCGATCAACAAGCACAGGTAGCAAACTCTAGCCTCAACCTGAAATGGTGGTGGGACGCCGCCCCGAAAGGGGGTCAGTACTCTATACGGCTATAAAGTACTGGTGTGGATGGCATCTAATAGATATACAACAAGTATTTCAAACACAAGACCCTCAAATAGGGTGATAATATAATTCTAGGTCGTAACCCCAAGTTACCCCTTTTTAAAATATACTTACTTTATATATAAAGTCAAGTAGTCGGCCCATGGCCCAAAGTTCGTTTTCAAAACATAAACCAAACCCCGTGACCCCTAGTCACGACAATACATAGGGTTCAACCCTAACACACATGTTTGCATTTCTCGAGTCCAACTCGACTACATCACCATGCATATCAATCACAAGTCAATTACTCCACCAATCTCCAATGTCATGTTCACCCATGCAATTCTAGAGCTCGGCTCAAGTACATCTCCTTACATGGGCTGAACCTAATCCTTATGTCTACCCAATACAATTCTAGAGCATCGGGCTCAAGTACATCTCCTTGCATTGGCATAGACCCCAATTCCTAAGCACTCGCTATGCCTAGAATTGTAATATCAATAATCTATTTCGGGACATCCTTATGGACTGCCTTATCATGATCTTAGCATCACATTACAACAATTTACTCACTTGAACCACAATCAAGTATATCACTTACAATCAAATCCTTAGATTCAATTTCTTAACAATTACAAACAATCATTAACTAGTATTCCAATACTATTAAGATTATTCCCATCAATCATATGTTTCATTTGTAAATCCCTACATATTTAGAAATATGTAGCAGCAACTTTGTCATCCAATGTAATACACAAATAATCATTTATGTATCTACACAATTCACACATGAGTAAAAATGTCTATTTCACACAATAGTTCATTTAACTCCATTTTTATCAATATGATTTCCAAATCATTTGCAATTTCATTACTTATCTAATATATCAATATTTCACGAATAATCAGTCATTATAATCCATGAAAAACATGATTTAGGCATTTAGGTAATCTCATGCTTAACCTACAAGTTGTAAGCAACTAGATGTCGATCCTCACCTCAAATGAGCTTTAAACCTTTCCTTTTTAATCCAATGCTCAAAGCTTCGGCCAAGGAAGTTTGAGAACTGATTCCTTGCTTAGAATTGATGTTTAGACAGCCTTCTCAAGGTGCTAGTTCAACACTTATCCAATGATACAAAAACAGCCCCTAGAATGGGTGTTTTCCGGCGAAAACGTTCCCTAACTTTTCAAGGTTTTATCTAGGTTAGTATCTAACCTTTCCAACGAATAAAATCA